CAAACGCAAGTTTTGAGCAGTGTAGAGTAGCGTTTGTTGTTTCTCTGATCACAAATGCAGACATGGTTTTGTTTACACAGCGCGATATGCAACGCAACGCGTAAAAAGACAGTATAAGTCATTAAAATCAGTAATTATGTCCCCACTGGATGCTACAAATACCTCGTTTGTAATGGGCTTTATTGGTTTTGTCTTGTCGTGCCGGGAGACAGCATCACAATATGTTAAGGGGCGTAACATTTCTGTCACATGCTTGAGGCATTCGGCCAATCACAACGCACTGGATAGCTGGCCAGTCAGAGCACACCTCGCTTTTCAGACCGATGACCTTTGTAAAAATCAACGCGTTTCAGAAAGGCGGGGCATAGAGGAGAAACGTAAAACTTTGCCCATTGCGTTTATATTCTGGCTTCATCTGCTTGCCTGTACAAAATATACATAATCAATAATGTTTACTGAATTTCGCCTTTTAATATCTGCGTTTTACCACATTACTACTTAATGCAAACTGTGTAAAAATAACTGGCGGTCAGTGGAGCAAAGCTTCGTTTTGCCATCCAGGTGGGCGTTCCTATGAGTGTGTGACGTCACGTGAAAACTATCAATAAACCATTAGAATACATGCTCAAGTATGTGAACTTGCAACAGACCACATTAATATTATTTTAAATTTGATTATAATTATTAATAGTCTCTTTTTATTTTGACAGTTCTGCAGCTGTTACTTGGATGGGATAAATTTATATTTATTTATTTAATTAATTTGCTTAAAGTAGGACTACATGATTGTTAATATTTTTATCTCAATAATTTAGCTTTTTTTTTTTACTTTTTAAAATGCCTAATTGTCTATGACATGACTATATATGTATGATTATTAAATATGGTCTTACATTAATTATAATCTATGAAATCATCTGTCTAATGTCTAAAAATGTAATAATTATGTCTACCAAGCTCTGATAATGTATTGAATATTATATTAAACGACTGTCCAAATTTTAATAAATCAATAGGCCAATGTCACTTTAACCCTTTAGGTGCCAGGGATTTTTGGGAAAAATGGTGGATTTTGACATCAAGATTTCAAAAACTTGTGGCTTGAAAGGGCTTAAAGATAGAGATCTACTGTAAACTCCAGGGTCACATATGGTCCTTAAAAACGAACAAGAAGGTGGCTAGCCGCACACTGAATCCAATACAGACTGAAAAAGTCTATAATTTTTTATTTTATAAATTGCATCGTGCAAAAAGTGCAGAGTGCGTGAGAGTTAAAAGCGAATGGACACGAGCAATGCTTGATGCACACATCTACAACAGTGCAACCAATTCTAAGGAAAAGCACAGCTGTTAAACATCTATGGGACGCATCGAATGGGAGGACTGTTATCGGGAAATGTGATAAAAGTGAGAGTGATGAATAAATGCATGCAGCTGCATATGGGAGGTGAGCTTCTGTCGTTCATCTTTCACTCCTTATCACATTCCTCAACATACAAGATCACGTTTCACCAGTTCTTTAGGCTTCATTAACTTAAGCACATTCATATTTCTGATTCTCAGTGAGGTGCTGAGGTTTTCATTTTATAATCAAACAAATAACTAAAGATAAAGAGTGGATTGCAGCAATAACTGCATTCAATCACGGCTTTACTGTAAACCTACAGTAGATTAATTTAGGGATTTAATTTGAATTTGCACCTGAAGAGGATTGAATTTCCAAAAAGCCAGCAATTTTTCAATGGATTCCCAGAGAATGAGAGATCAAATCTAATCACAGGTTAATTTTTTAATCATTAATTTGCTTTCACAATGTTTGTTTTCAACATATTTTGAAGTATGTTGGCAACCGAACAGTGGCTGGTCCCCACTGACTATGAAAAAAAAATACTATGGAAGTCAATGGAGACCAGAAACTGTTTGGTTACCCACATTCTTCAAAGTATCTTATTTGATGTTCAACAGAAGAAAGACATTTTTACAGGTTTGGAACAACTTGTGGGTGTGTAAACAATGACAAAATCATTTCATTTTTGGGTGAACTATCCCTTTAAGTCAGACAGTCCACCGTGAGCAACTGAATGCTTCTCTGCAAACTGCGCGTCCATCATTAGTTATTGGACAGACCCAATGATAACTTTCCCATTCAGCCCTACATCTGGAGAGCCTTGTGTTCATCCAACGTGAGCAACTGAATGCTTCTCTGCAAACTGCGCGTTCATCATTAGTTGCTGGACAGAGCCATTGATAACTTTCCCATTCAGCCCTATATCTGGAGAGCCTTGTGTTCAAAGGGCAGATGTGAGCTCCTGATGTTTTAAACTGCGCATGTTTAGCGCATGCTGCTTTAACGGCGCGCGATCTGTAGTCTCCGTCGCTATGGAAACAAAGACGCCAAAATGCAATCACGCGCAAAAATGGGCTTCTCTAATACTTCATTTGAAATTTCATTATAATTGCTATTAGTATTATAAACAGTGCAAAATACTTACTTGTTGATTCAACTTTGGCCTTTGTAAAATACAGGACAAATCGTGTCCCATATTGATTTGATACGGGACTAGGGCTGTGTGATATGGACAAAAAAAAAACCTATCGCGATTTCTTTGATCAATTTTGCGATTTCGATTTTAATCTTAATTTTGACACACACAGACATGCTTTACAGTCATAAATGCGAAACATATTTCCAAAAGAAAACCAGTTAGAGCTTTATCACAAAGCTGTAACATGTCTCAGAAAAGACATAAGGCAAAATAATCACTAAGTAAAGGTGTAACAAAATGTCTCTAGAATAGACATATGGCAGAAAAAAAAAAAAAATCCCGTGTCCAGGGATTTTATTTTGCCATGCATTGGTCATAGAGCTCTTTGTGGCGTTGCCTCGGATGTTGAACTAGATTTGTTGCGCCAAGTTCACACGTACTCCGTCTGCAGTGCGTATACTATGTATAGTATAGTATAGTATGTGTATGCGGTGCAGAAGCAGCACGGACTCATTTTGCTTTCGTACAGGACGCGTTTGCAGTCCACTCCTGATCCGCGGCTGTTTACCACAAACACAACATTTATCCATTATTTTGATTTAAAATCCAAACGTGGTTTCTGAAAATGCTTTTTCAGCATTGTGATTCTCTTTTATCACAGTACAGTAATACAATCTTTCATAGACATATTCACGTTTAATCTCAATAAATATAACTTGTTTGAATAATGCACTGTCACTTTCAGCGCGTGCAGCACAGCAGAAATAGACTCAGTGCAGAAACGATTGCAGCATGACTGCTGCAGACGCACCGCTCCTGGAGCGCACTGCCGAACCACAATCGCGTGCAGTGTGAACGCTCTGATCCGTTAACATGGGCGCAGACAAAAATACGCACCACAGACGGAGAGTGTGAACCTGGCGTTACGTTTGTATGCCCGCCCGGTCTGTTCTGTTCTCGTGCTCCATTTAGGCGCGCTGCATTCTGATTGGTTCGGATAGCATACTGTCGGAAAATCGTGCTATAAAGCGATTTAGAAATCGCGCATGCTCAAATCGCAATTTTATGACGATTTCGATTAATCGCACAGCCCTATACGGGACACATCAATTTACCTTTAAATATGGGAAGATTCCGTATTTTAAGGCACAGGTGGCAACCCTACATTGTGTGGACAGACATGTTGAGATCACATGACCCATTATATAAACATATGCAACTAAGATTACACAATCGTGGCTCTTTTTTTTTAATCATCACTTCGAATAATGGGAAGAAATTAAGATCTCATTTAACACTTCCTTTTGTAGCTTAGTGTGTATAAGATCTACATGTTGTTGGTTTTGATGTTTGTTCTTTGTGCCATTAAAAATGGTGTTAATCTGGATTTGTCTTTTTTGCATTAGACCTGATGACACTGAAAGAGGAGAGTCAAGAACTCAGTGAAAAGGAGGATAATGTTCAGCATGAGAAATATAATTTCATGACTGGAGAAAAATCATTTAGTTGCTCACATACTGAAAAGACTACACAAAAAAGAGCTCTAAAGACAGCAAATAGAAGTTATTTCACCTGCCAACAGTGCGGGAAAAGTTTCACCACAAAAGAAAATATTGAAGTCCACATGAGAGTTCAAGCTGGAGAAAAGCCTTGTGGAAAGAGTTTCATTAATAAACCAAACCTTAAAAACCACACGAGAATTCATACTGGAGGGAAACCTTACACATGCTCTCAATGTGGAAAAAGTTTTAAACATAAACAACACCTCGATGACCACAAGA